GGGCAGGTACTGGACTAGATGTGCAGTGATCCAACCTCAACTATGCTGTGAGTCCATGCATTATTACCCATGCTGGTGAGGAGGCCTAACTACATTCTAAATTAACTGCCTGTACAGTCTGATGCTTGCACCAAAGTAAATGGCACTCCTGTAATTTAGTCAGACTAAGGCACAGTGCTGAAGTGGTGACAATACCATTAGCCAGAAGGGGTTAAGAGCCCCTCCTCCTCCAACAAATCCAGCATGCTGGCATAGAAAACATTTCTTTCAGAAACTTAGTCCAGAATGAACCTTCGGTTGAGCTTAGCTTGAGAGGAAGTGTTCAAGTTGTTAACAATTTTTCCTTCACAGAAAGAATTTCTTTCATCCACTTGCAGCAAAATTTTTCAGTATTCATCTCTATTAGACCACCACTGATCTTACACATCTGTAGATTCAAAGATTATCTTTTCTCTCAATCATGAAATGGTCAGCCAACAAGAATGCAGGCTAAAGGCAGCTTTAACATAAGGTGTGCAAGTAGGAAGGTTTTGCTTAGGGTGGACATGGCTGCAATTTGTGCCCAAGACTACTTTCTACATTTTAATGAGTAGACACAGGCACATGCTGGGAAAGCAGAGGGGTTACAACATGGTCCTGAGGCTGGAGCAAACGACAGTTCATCTGTCCATCCCAGCCGCCTTCCAAGAAGTCTTGTCATCTGACACCAGTCTGAAGTACGAGAGGTTGCATAGATTTATAAAAATCTTGCCCTTTATAAATGATGCACAAGAACTTATGTATCAATACCACCAGTTTTCTTTTAATTTTAATTAGCAATCTGAATGGTATGGATCTAAGAATATTTTGAGAGAAACAACAGCTAGAAGCTAGTTCAGAGGATACCAACTCAGCACACTAAGAGGCAAGTAACTCATGGTTTGATGAGACTGCTAAGGAGCCCACAGAAACCACATCCTTGTACAGTGGATATTTGTCCAGCTGTGCCAGCAATTTCACATTATGGTGTGATATTTTGTCTTTTGATACAATAAATGTGATAATGGCCTTCACAGAATTTGGTTCTTGTGGCTTATGTCAAACAAAATTGGAACATTATTACCATGTTTTCCAATTTCTACCTATACTCTGGGCTGCTCTCCCATAGTAAGTAGGTAGTAAACTACATATATGTGACCCTAAAGCCTCAGCTACCATCTCTAGGTGTCACAAACTGATGTTGCCTGATCTCTCCAAACTTATTTTTCTAGGTTTAATATTATCCCTACATCCCTGCAAGACATGCTGATTAATTACAGAAGCAAAAACTCAAGAAGTGGCAGCCTTGTTAAGGCACTTACTGCATACATTAGGAATGAAGACAGGTAATTTTTTTCCACAGTGCAGATACTTCCTGTCCTGTATGAATAATAGTCTGTTAGGTCTGGTAGTTCCTTTTGTGACCTCTGTAACAGCTTGCTTCTGACTCATTAAGTCAAGCTAAAGCATAAAATGTAGGTGGTTTGTGGTGGTGGGGAGGGCAGTTGCTGGGTTTCCCTCTTCAAACTATACCAACATCCTGTTCCAGATAAATACCATGAAGCTAATCTGATGTGGTTTTATCTAGTTTAAGCAATCAAATTTAATACATACTCCTTACAGACCTTTTGTTGTTTGTTAGTATTTGCTAGATGTCATCAATGATGTGATTACAGACATTCAAAGGTTCTCACACACACAGACATTCTCTTACCTTTATGGCAATACTGTGGTTCTGGTTAAAGAAATTAACTCTTGCTTTACAGGTCCTCTTTCAATAATCATGTCTCTGTTATGATGCACATGCCACATCTACATGCACCCTGACTACCATCATAACCAGTGGTCAAGCTTTCTGTCAAGATTTCCTCATTCTTCTTCATCTTCCTAGTGCTCCATCCCTAAGGCTGGTCGTTCAGGATACCTAAATACGTTTTCAGGTTCTTCAAAACAGGTTTTTAAATCTCCATATATTGCTTCAACTGCTATTGTACTATAGTTTAGTTAAGTTAAATCGTGCTAGAATAACACAGATGAATTTCTGCAATATATTTAAAATCTGATACCCTAACAGTGCAAAGTGAAAGTTTCCAGTCAAATTTGTATTTTAACTAAAGCTCCAGTTTTGCAAGAGACTGGTAGACTACAAAAACACCCACATAACAGGAATTAAATATTACATCAAGAATTATGTTTATGGAGAAAGGTGGTGCTTTTGCTCTCTAAAATTACCTAAGTGCATCCAGTATTCCCTAAAGTGGGTTCAGTTAAGTCCACAGAAGCATTTATAATTTCCAGGAGAATAAGCACCACGTGATATTTTCAGATTGATTTTTTTTGTTGTTTTTAAAACCTTAGCTACCCAGATGAAAAACAGGGTAAATTAACACAGTCTCTGGAAATAATATTCTCAAAAAGAATTACAAGCTCTTGCAAAGACTTTGAGCTGGCACGCACTTTTAGATGCTTATTAAGGTTCACCCCACACATCTATGGGTGCAAAAATACTGAAATAATAGCCACTGGTTAATACTGCTTCTGGTCCTAGATTAATTGCTGTTGAAAATATTGCTTCATTCCTTGTCTGCCCACTCCAGTTGAGCATAAGAAATGATCCTTTCAGATAAGGCTTTGCATATTTTCATAGGTGGAGCAATTGAGCCATTATCTACAATAAACTGGGAAAAAAAAATATTTTTGCAAAAACAGTTTTACATTCAGACAGACTGAAGCAAAAGGCACACATCTCCAGATGGTCATGCCTGGAGAAAGTGAAATCATAACATGAGTGGTATTATGACATAAAATCAAAGATAAGGAAATATTCGACACATAGAATAAGAAATACTTGCTAATAAAGCTAAAATCTTCATAGATAAAAAGCCTCAAAGCATCACACTTTCTTTAATGAAAAAAAAAAAGCGATCAAAACCATTTCAAAAGAGTTTAAAATTAATTTTTGGCATAGAGGAAGGGGTTAAAAAACAATCAAGCTTTAAACATGAAACCCTGTCCTTTAACATAACAAAAGATCTAAGATGACTATTTCATCATAGAAAATTAGCTTCTTGCAGTGACACTTCAGTCTGAATCCAGTTAGAAAAATATGATTATCGGGAATAACGACTTACACTGTTGGTGCAAGAGCAGACAGCAGCTAATGCTTATACCTGCACAGGGATTTGTGCATTCAGAAAGAAAACCAGGGATTGGCTCTTCTGCTTGTAACATGAAAATCTGTAGTTTTACAGTAGATTAAGAAACACAGTTGGGTGGGGTTTTGGTTGGTTGGTTGGATTTTACTTCCAATTCGTGAGGAATATTTTGAAAGTGTATTTTCTATAAAAAGTACCTCTGCTCAAGGATTCTTAATGCAAAAACAGTTTTCAAGTTTCTCTAAAAAATGTGGACAGGCCAGAGCAAAGAAAGCAGCATCTTCGTATCTTACATGATCTTTACAAAATATCCTCGATTCTTCAGTGAACATACCACAGCTGCATCATTTCAAATACTGACTGCACTGTTTGGAAAGACCTTGCCTGCAAGCCTTTTCTTGTTGTTGTTTGGTTTGGTTTGGTTTTTTTAAAGACTGAAAAATCAAAATGAGTGATTTATGTTATAAAATTCCTCTTCCCACATAACATACACTGTTGTAAAACAACTCATGTCAGGTCCTTCAAATTAGAAGAAGCTCAGAACAAGTATTACTTCTTATTTCAGTTTCAGCCTAAATCTCTCATTGATTACCTACTGTTAGAATGGCACAAAAAGTAATGGTTTATTAACTGAGAAAAGAAAACATACCTATGTCAAAGATATAAGCATCACCAAATCAGGCTGAGATAGCCAGAACAACATGGGTTCTATAAAGATTAATCACCAATACTTCCGCCACATTTTACCACTACCAAGCAGTGTTTGTGACATTCCCATAGAGCTCACAGAGTTGTAAGAAAATGTGAAGTTAAGGAAGAAAGGTTTTAAGACTGTCTTCACTTCAAATCAATGATGTCTTCATCATATAAAGAAACGGGCTGAAATGAATAGCTAGATGGTGAGCTCTCCTCCCTGTTTGATAAAGTGTCGGGATCTGAACTAGTGGAGAGATGACGTCCTTCAGAATAGCTTTCAAAAGAGCTTGAAATTATCCTGCAAAGAGGAAAACAAAAGTTACTAAAAAAATACACAGATCAGGGCAAGTAGGATCAATGGCTATTTCTAGATTCAATCAAGTTATCCTAAAGACAGGACAGACCATTAAAAGTGTGTTTCTCTGTTTTACTCGACTGAAAATTATCAAAAGGCAATGTCAATGAAGCTGCTCATCCAAATAATTTCCAAATAGCAAAATAAATCAAATATGGTTTTACATTGAGGAAGATGTTTGTTTTGTTAATCTCAGTCTATTTTATCTTGGCTGAATTCTGCTGCCACTCTACATAAACACAGGTTATGAAAACAGTGCAAACGAGAATGGCAGTAGGGTCAGGTAAACAGAGCCAAGCAGACAAATGCTATGGTGTTTCTTTGCAAAATTTATTCTAGAAATAGCAACACAAAAGCCTATGATGAAAACAGCAAGCAAGTCTGCACAGTGCAGATTTATCAGTCCAAATCCTACAACAGGCTCAATGGCAGCAGGTCCCCACAGAATCCCATTTAGTCTTTGCTCATTAACACGTCTTTAGCAAAAGTGTAACTATTTCAGTACTTACATTATTCAGGTACTTCAACAAACACATGAGCATCAAATCCACATTGGTATACAAGGGTCTCAGTCAGTCCCATGCCAACTGAGATAAGCATGAACAATCAATTCTGAAAACATTTACAGTCTAAGTTAGGTTCTTTTCTGAAGCCAGTATATTTACCTGTCACTACTAGTTGATCTTACTGCTCCCTGCTTGGGGTCTGACTGTCTTCGAGGAACCTTTTTTTGCTTCTGTGCACTTTCTGTCTTGGGTATAGGCTCATCCAAAAGACCTCAATAAAGTAATAAAAGACTTAACACTCTCAACAGAAAATAAAGCATTCACGAAATAGCTAAGGTATCTTGTTGCTGGTTTCCACTGTTAACTAAATAGCTTCTGCCTAGCTTAGAATATGGTCACCTTGTATGTGATCAGACCCTGGCTAGACTATTTACAAATAATGTTTTTCTCAGCATCTCATTTGTTTGTTTACACTACTTATTTATGAATACTGGTTGCATGTTACAAATCTGACTGTGATGGTACAAAGATTAGAAACTAGATACTTAGCAATTGATATGTACACTGAATGAGAAGAGTTTACCCAGCAATTCTTTACGTGTTCTGCTTGCAATTTCTTTAATTTCCATACGAGATAAGGATAGTGAGTGAGTAACTGGAAGAGAAGCAATGCCACTGGATGTTGTAGTAGTGATGACCTTGGGAGCCAAAGGTGACTTCAGAGGTCGTTCAATGCTTCGCCCAACCAGATTACTGAGAGGAATTTTGTACAGATTTTTGCAAGGAACTTCACCTGAATCAGAGAAGGAAAAAAAAAAAGAATGCTACTCTTTTACAGCAAAATCAGTTCTTAATACTTCCAAACACAAAGTTATACAGGAAAGTTATACTTGTTCTGTTGAGTGCTTTTTAATCCAAATAACAAAGACCCTTCTTGCCCCAGAGATCTTTCAATACAAACAGGCTAAGGAGGAGGAAGAAATGCAACCACTGTGCACAGACTTGCAATTTGACTTACAGGGGAAAAAGAAGATTGACTCTCGGCGATGTGATGAACCAGCAGTGGAACCAGGAAGTAAATTTATGTGTCCATGGTATTCTGACTATTACACCGTGACAATGCACTGTGTAATATCCCCCATGTATTTTAATATGTTGCAAGTATATTGGAGCCTGGATCCCAAGTGGTTTAAATTATGGCTTCTCTTCTTAGGTGACATAAAATACTGAATGTTTTGCTAATTCCTAGAAAAAAAAACCCACAACTTACCATCAAATAGCACTGCCTTGTAAAAGCTGAAATTATGATTCCTTTCTCCTTTCCCCTTCTGCCAACAGTGCAGAAGCAGATTTAAGTGAGGAAGATAAACATCTATCTTGCTTCATCTAGTTGATGTTCCCTTGTTTCTCCATTCCCCTTGTTCCCATATAGACTGTTCACAGATCATGTTATACTAAATTGACTAAGTAAACTCTTTCGAGGTAGAACTTCTTACTTTTGGTTTTCTAAAGAGCTTTAAGCATTCAGTAGTAGTTTAGCTTTTTTTAAATGAAAGGAATGATGTATGTCATATCTCAAATTTTCCCATAATTTCATGCCTCTTTTTGAATTATTAATCTTGGCCATATTGCCAAAGGTACTGAATCTTATTTCCTCTCCTCCTAAGAAAGGATTTATTCAAAACAGTGCTACCATGCACTCAGAAAATACTATGGGGCAAAAGCTCAGCTGGGTGCTTCATACCTCCAGACTCTCAGCTAGGAACTCGAAATCTTTTACGTGATCAATTTCATCTTACTAAAGATCAGCTTCACTGAGATGTGACAGCTCTTGGAATGATCAGAGATCATTATTCACACTGCCTGGAAACCATGTTACCTTCTAAAGAAGAAAGAGGACATTCTGGCATTTCATAAGCTGTTGGTGTTTGAGGAGAACTCCTTGAACTCATTTCCTTAGAGCTGCTGTCAGATGATCCACTTACTGCAGCAGTAGCTTTAAAATAAATATCTGACTGAAATGACAAATAACTCAACATTAGTACAGTGAGACTTTCTTAACCATCTTCTGAGTAAGAGCTCAAATGTTTGTCCACTATGTTCTATTGCCACTATTGCTGCTAAGTCAACGAGGGTTGGTCATGGGAAGCTTATCCCACTGTAAGTGGAGGGAACATTTGTGATGTTGGGGATAGCATTTGCCCCATAAACAGTCAAACACCTCAGATCTGCATTACTGTGATCATTAAAGGACAGTGAGATCAATTCTGATTCTCTTTGTACTTGATATAAACTAAGAGCACACAGATGAACAGTTACCACTAATTAAGTACCACAATGTTTCAGTTTTTGTTTGTTTGGTTTTTGGCTGCAGCAACTTTTTATGTGAATTAGATCCCAACATATCACTAAAGTAATCAAACATGATTTTCCTGTGTCTTACCCTTGATGCTACAAGTTGAAGCTCAGGCACAACTGCTGTGTGGACTAAGTTCCCATTCACCACTAATCGGATCTCAATGGAATCAGTAGTGAAGGCAAGGATATAAGGGAAAGCACAGACTGCAATGAAACAAAAATTATTTGGCAAGGAAAAATGGTTAATGTAGATGTTTCTTGGGTGCTCCATGAAAATGTTCTTGAGTATCTGACCTCTTCTGGCATCTCCATTTCCTATGAAAAGGGTTGTGTAATACACTGATGGACATTGAGTTACATCAAGCCTGAAGAAAACTTTGCTCTCCATGCCTGGCAGAATGTAGACTGAATGGAAAATGAAAAAACAGAAAACGAGGAAAGGAAAAAAGTTCATCAAAGGAAGAACTTGGCACCAAAGCTCCACTTTATAAAATTATCACAGGCAGAAACTTAACTGAAGTGGCATTGTGAATGTAACATGCTTATTCCTAGCACACATACTGTAATTCCACTTACAGCCAAGTGCAAGCATAAATAGTAATGAAAAAAACAGCCACCTAGTAAAAGAGATATTTTCTTACCAACAGCATAAGGAACTTGATTCCAGCTGAAGTGGAAGTCATAAGCTGATGGCTGGATCAGTGGAGAACCTCCATTGAAAGGATATACCTTTCTGTACTGGCAAACATCTGTAACAAAAACAGAAAAAAGCAGCATCCATCATCTAACACTGCAAGCAACAAACACAAATTTCATAGCAGATTTTGCAGATGTGGGCATTATATACACAATCAAGCATTTCTGTAGGAAGTCCCTTTATATCTAAACTGATAAGGGAAGTGTGCTTCCTCTGTGAACACAGCATTTGAAAGAACAAAATAAAAGACCTATATTTTAATTAGTTGTCATATTTCACAAAGTAAGCATTACTCCACTTCCACAGACACCAGTTCCTTACCTTGTCTATGGATAAAGGAATAGGCAAGAAAAACGCAAAAAGCAGTATTAGCACAACTGTACCTCTCTGCTCTTCAAGCAGCCATATGCTAGCAGAGTTTACGTTCTTTGAAGACTGTTAGACACACAGGATATTACAGACACAAAGATTTCATTAATTATATAACTTGTGAACCTACTTTTTAGCTGCTGTAAGTCCACTGATTCTGAAATTAATTAACAATCTTTTCACGAGTCAGACATGAATGCTGGCTTAGAATCAATTGTAATTATCTTTTTTTCTTTCCAAGCTCATATGAATGTACCGAGGGCTCCAGGTAAACATGTACGACCCCCTCAAACACATGCTGCTACCAAGCTCTTGTCTCTTTTTTTAGGCAAAATTCTATTTTCTTCCTTAATTGATATAATTGATGTCCTTAGACTGAATCAAGGTTTATATCCAGAAATGTATTACAGACCTTTTTCTAAATACAATCTTAGGACACTGTCAAATTTTGTGGTTTTATATTTGTTCTATGACGATACTTTCAGAATTATAAAACTCTAGTTTAGTATTTGTTTATTAATATTTATTTATTATTACATATTTATTTAGTATTTTATTTATTTATTTGTTCTAGTATAGAACAAATGCAGGTTTCCCTGTGACTGTCCTAGAAATAGGAATTCAAGCTGCTGCAAACCTGTGCATAACTTAAAGATCAGCTAAGTTTGTTAGCTTTGGCTCAGCAAGGGGAACTGATTCTGTGCAGGCATACAAGTGGGAATTCATTATGCTCTGTCAGATAGCTTTTTAGTTCTGAACCAGTGCTAAGTGAATCAGAACCAGGTTCACTTAGCAAGCTACCAGAATTAATAAGGCCTCACAGAGCGTAGAAAGACATAGCTTAGAACACTTGAAACTTGCTTTGTGGTATCAATCTGATTGCCAGCACTGAACACAGGTGTATTTACCCTGTCTCCATCAATGTTTACTTTGAAGAGGCAAACAAGACATGCCTTCTGCAACAAAGCTGTACCTTGTCCTTCAGCATTGCCTCATAAAGGCTGCTTCATGCTAAGAGCTTCTATTTTCATGAGGATTGGAAGAAAAAGAACCTGTGTACTGCAGAGAAGAGCATATGTATGTTATATCCAAGGCTGTTTTATAAAAGGAGATTGAGAGAATTACAATGAAATAATGCAACAGTGCCAAGAGGTAGGCAGAAGAAAAATCACAAAGAGAGAATGGGACAGCACACAGTAAAAAAGGGGTGGAATGCTAAATTGTACATGTCTTGAAAACACCTAGTAAGTGTGTAACTTCCTAAAGAATGAGTTAGATCTGAAGAAACAGGATTTTTGTAAGGTGGTAACATCTATTAAATATATAGATACACACCTATATACCTGACATTAAAACCTAACAGCTAATATGTCTAAATTCAACATACCCTGCAATAAAAGAATCCTTCAATTTCTAGTCTTTCTAAAATTCCATGAAACACTGAAATTTATTTTAAAATACGGATCTAGACGCCAGTGAAAAAAGAATTGCATATGCAAATTGAGGTATTACCATTTTTGGTCTTCCCTAAATACTTACAATTATAACACAACAGGAGACCAGCTTCACCATCTTCATATACATCAATAGCTGCAACAAAATTAACCTGCAATGATAATGGGAAAGGGCAAAGAACAAGCAGAGGATAATGAGGTTATTACAAGCAGGTTTTGACTAACAAGCAATACCATCAGTTGGAGGTGTGCACAACTACTGAACAAAGGAAAGAAAGACGAAGAAAAAGTAATTTTTCTGTACAGTACTGAATTACTGAATAATACACCCACAGCATAAAGCAATAAAAAGTTCCATAACTTATTTGGCAATATGAATTTTGGGAAATTGAGTGATTTCAGTACAGCTGTGAATCAACATGATATGCTAAAGATAAATATTCTTTCCAGAAAGTGAAATCAAAAAAAGCTCCATTTGCACATCATGACTAACAGAAAGATCAGATGCACCAATTACTGGTTTAAAACCATTAACGTTTACAGAGGTCAACAGGGATGTACTTAAGGATTACTGAATAGGCTGAATTTAGAAACTGAGAACCAGTGCTGAATAATCCACAGTATTTTTTACATAGCTTAGGTTACGTAAATTCTCATATTTCAGCTCTGTTATTTGTCTTCTACAGTTAGATTAAAAGACCCAGAAAAGTCATAAAAAATAGTGTATCTGTTCAGGAAATGAGACCTTATTAATGACATATGTAAGATTCATTATACAAATGCTTCCCAGACCACAACATTTACTACCTGGGTATGGAGAGGGGTTGGAAACTGATTCCATAAATAGCAGCTCTTTGACTTTCCTTTTTACAATAAGCTAGATGTTCACCTCCTGATTTAAGATTACTGTATAAATCAAGAGCTGTTAAACAGACCTTGAAGTTTATATGTTTATACCAAATGCATTTTGACCTATTCTTTGAAGTGACTAAATGCCACTTCTGCTCTGTTACCCATGGAAATAATTTGGTGTCCCATTTCAACATCACAAAAATCACTGGCTCAGTTCATATTAATTGTCTGCTTTGTGTTCTCAAGGAAATAAGGATTCCCAGGGAGAAGAGGAACGGGTTGGAGTGGTGGAGGGATGGTGGGGTACTTCTCCATCCCCATTCTTTACTTGTAATTCCTCCTCACCCAGATTAAGACAGATTTCCAGTGCTGTGAATCTTACACTGTATCGCCCATGCTAGGAGTACCAAACCTCTTCATCATCAGATCTGAATAAAAATACAGACAACTTAAAAAGAAAATAACCTATCAACAAGAATCATAAAATGAAAAGAGTAGTCCCTTATCGTGTTATGAGGAAAAGTCAGTTAACAACAACAAAGACATTAACTGTGCAAAATATTTTCTGTCTAAAGTTATACATCCATATTTAGAAACAATTAAAATTATCTGATTTTCAGAGATGCTGAAGATCATTATGTTCCCAGCAGCAGGAAATACCAAAGTTCTCTTCTGAAGATCAGGGAATTTGCTTAAATTCCAACCCTATATCCTAGCAAGAAAGATTCAGTTAATTTACTAGTTGACTGTGCAGCAGTTTCTTAAATAAAATTAAAAACCACATGTAAATATTTCACCCTTAGTACATGCAAACAGGCAAATCTGAATGAGATACTGGTGGCCAACAACTGAAGTTATTTTGCTGCAATTTCTTAAACAATAAAACACTGAGACCACAAAGAAAAAGCAAAAAACAAACTATTGACTAAGAAAGGAGAAAAATTAATTTATGCCGACAGCAATATTCCAGAGCCTGAAACACAGGCTCTTTCGGTAGGTACAAGGTATGACACATTACCTTTCTTGGGAGTGATTATTATCATGTATCTCAAAAGGAACAAATATCTCTGAGTGTCCTAAAGCAGAGGTTATAGAAGTGAAAGGTAAGAGACATGAGGATCTCTACACATTACACTCCCAGGAGGTCAGCACAGGATGCACTGAGTCTGCAAGAAATTATGTTCAGCGTGGTTCTGCAAGAAAAGAGTTTCAATGATGAAAACTTACCTTGTTTGTTTCAACGTGATGCAATCTATAGGACTCCCCAGTACTCTCATTAATTAAATCAAACTGATGCCGATACGCTACACAGATCATATTGTCACTGTCTCCAGTAGGTCCATCCACCAGTGTCATAACCACTGGAGGGTCAGAAAGGCATATTTCCTATAATGTAAATAATAGAATTATTCTCTTTTTCAAGCTTCTACTGTGGGTGCTGCAGGTACTCCATGAATTTAAACGAATGTGCTCTAAGCCCAGAAACATGATAAAGAACAAGCAGAAACTTAACTAAAAAAAAAATCTAAAAGATTTCCTTGGCATATATATGATGGAACTCCATCATATGGCTTCTCACTTTTATTTGTCTGGAGGTTCAGGAGGATAAAAACGCATGCTCTTTGACTCCCCCCCTGCCAACAGCTGAGCGCTGCCCAGTCTATTAAGGTGTTTAGTGATTAGACGACACATACCCGGATGTACTGGAACTCCTCTACTGGAGATTCAGATGATGACAGCAGAGAGCTGCTGGTTAAACTGTTGCGTGGATTATATTTCTTTGTGACGAGAAGTAGTTTGTTCCGAATAGCCACAACAATCCTCAGTTCACTGCCATGGTGAGTATTAATGGCATACAAATGGCAGCCTGAGGAAATAATGCTCTAGATCGTAAGTGCCTGAGGTATTGTCTGCTTTTTTCCTTCTGTATTTGTATGATGATTAGCACAATGGGATTCTGATGCATGCCTTAGCAACAAATTACAAATTACAATTTTTTCAAATTTAAATTAGAATTACAAACCTCCCAATAGGATAACATTAACTTCTAGAAGAAAACAAAAGGCTATGACTCTCTCGAAACCTAATTTTCCCCTTGCTCCTTTTGCAAATAAAGACTAAATACATGGATTTTCACTACTCCGCAGGTTCCAGCTTTCCAAAGCAGCTTGCTTCTGAAGACCAGAAAATGTTTATGTCTACTAAAATAATCAGCAATACCCAAACTAATCTACGCACTGCTATTTAACAGAGATTTGCCAGTGTTCCTCCATCTTAAAATGTCCCTTATTTCAGTCTCACATCCCCACATAATTCTTCTCAAGCCTCTCAATCCTGAAAACAACATACCTATTTTTCTCTAGAGCTTTTTTCATCAGCAGTGAATGCCAAATAATATGGTATTTTTACAAAGTTCTAAAATGTCATGCTGGACTATACCAAACTTCCACATACAAGCTTAACATAGTTTGAATTGAATGTCCAGATAAAAAACTAAAAGGTGAACACCTGAAAACTGCCTCAAGGGAGCTCGTCAGCTCCTGGCAGCTAGAGGTGTCATACCACAGTGGATGTTTTTAACACAGGATAATAAAATCACCTTTTGTTCTCTCCAGTTTATTTTCTCTGCAGTCGTATTTGCTTTTTATCATTTGCTTTGTTTCTATATCTTTTTGGACAGCACTGAGTCTGAAGACAAGTAGACGAGAGTCTTTCCCTGAAGGACGAAGAGAGTCAGGAAACAAAAAGTTAAAAAAATATGGTGGTAGTTTGAAATTAATACTTCCAAAGAGAAGCAGTACCTAACAAATAGAGCAAGGGTAAAGCATACTGCTTCTCTGGGGATGAGCCACAACATCATACAAGACTGCTTATGAACCCTCTAGGCTTTACAATTCTAGTAACCAACCCCTTCAGTTCTGTAGCTGAGTTTCCCATCAGGTGGTGCTGCAGCAAAGAGTGAAATAAGAACTTAAAATAGTGAAATATACAAAATTTCACAAGATATAAAAACTATAATAGATGTAAACTACAGGACAAGAGAAAAAAGGGTTAACTTTAAAAGCTGGAACCATCTGGCTGAGCAGCTGATAACTGGATCCATAACGGAGTCTGAAACCCTTTGGGATACAGACTGGTTTTGCTTAACAGTTCTTCAAAGGTAGGCAAGTTAGGTTCAAGGAATATTTCAACTGCAAGAATAATACAGTATCTACATCATGGATAAATCTGTTTCCCACAAAGATATGTATGAGTGGAATCTACAACTTGTAAATTTAAAACAAATAAACAAATGAGACACTACTACCTGCAGTTAGGAAATAAGCAACTTAAGAGTAATTTCTTATCGAAGAAACTGAGTTTCTTAAAATGTAAGCGAGAGGAGAGAGAAGGGGGGAGAGAGAGAGAAGGGGGGAGAGAGCTGTCTCTTATA